CGTACCTATGACAGTTGCAGCGTCCCTGGGGTCATGGGATCCCCTCTGGCCATCTTCTGACCAGCGAAGTCAATGGGGAAGCCAGATGGGCCGAACAACCAGGCTGGTAACGATTGCGACAATTTGTGATATTTGGGCAGCAAAAACTTCGGTCATTTAGTTACTGTCTATTTACGGAATGCACCTTCAGTTTCCAAGCTGCCGCACTGCTCTTTCAAACCCCTTCTCTCCCCCCCCCTTTTCATTGGCAACTCTAAAAAGACCATCAACATGTTTTATGAGTTGACATCTTTATCCTCGCAGCTGATTGGCGCGGCAGAGCCTGAGCTAGCGTTTGGAAAGTTGCGTGCGCGTGAAATGTCCGATCACTGAACCGGTAGGAAAATTGGTAGAATCCCACCGCTGGCTCCCACCTGCTATGTCCCCCGTGCTGCCATCTCTTCCTCCCTCCCTCCCTCGTCTTCCCCGATCGCTGTTTGGTGCCGGCTGTGCCTCCATTTGCCCCTTGCAGAAAACCAAGCTCATTATCCCTTCCCGGCGCGGTCATTAAAGCAGAGCAGATCCTGCCAAGCAGGCAATTCTGCCCTCCGAATGATCCAGCAGGGAGACATCGGATTTCATTTCCGCTTGTCAGAGATGGGACTCGGCGGCATCTGGCGGAGCTTCGTCCACTGTGACAGGCAGCGGGCCGTGTGCCGGTCCTCGGGGATCCGACGGCGGCACTGGGCATGAGACTGGAAGGAGCCAAGATGGGACGTTAAGCCAAAATTCTTTTATTTCCCTTTTTTTCTTTTGAAGATTTCTAAATATCCGTTTCATTGTTCATGGAGTAACCTCAGCTCAGCCTGACCTCCGCTTTTTAGGACGGGCTCTCTTGGCTCCTGTAGATCAGTGGTCGCCAACCGGTGGGCCGGGGACCACCGGTGGTCTGTAAGAAAATTTTGGTGGTCCGCAGAGAAATGTCCCCCCCAAAGCAATTAATCCAGGCGGCGCAGGTACACAAGGCTGCGCCACCCACATGGCCCGTGGGAACACAAGGCTTGTGTCGCTTGCATGGCGAACAACACAAGGTGGTGAGGGGAGGGGGGAAAGGGTGGAGGGGGGGAACTTGCCCCACTCACCCCTCGCGCCTGGCCTGGACACCGAGCTGCTTGCTTCCGCTTCTTTCTTCTTCTGCTACTGGCTGCATGCAAGGAAAGCAGCAAAAGTCTTTCTTTCTCTCCCCCAAACTCCGCCAGAAATGAGTCTTTGGGACCCTGCAAGGCCTCCTGCTCCAAGAGGCTGCGCCGGCAAAGACTCATTTCTGGCGGAGTTTGAGGAGAGAGAAAGAAAGCGGCTTCTGCTGCTTTCCTTGCATGAAGCCAAAAGTCTCTCTCTCTCTCTCTCTCTCTCTCCCCCTGAGAACAGAGCTGGAGACGGTATCCTGCGATCCCAAATGAAGAATGACCGATCAGTAGGAAAACGGGTTGGGGAATTTTCCTGCAGACTTTTTTGGGGGGATTTTCTCAGGGTCTCTGGTCCGCAGGATTTAAAATTATGAGTTTGGTGGTCCCTGAGGTCCAAAAGGTTGGCGACCCCTGCCATAGATGTTCTCATCCTTGGGGAATTGCAGGCAGTCCTCGGCTTATGGCCACCATTGAAAAACACCCCCCCCATTTTCACCGCTAGGCGAGAAAGTTAAGTGAGTTTTGCACTGTTTTGTGACCTTTCTCACCGCCGTTGTTAAGTGAACCGCTGCAGTTCTTAACAGTTTTGAAGCAAATCCTGCCTCCCTCCTTGATTTTGCTCGCCCGAAGGTCGCAAATGGGGACCACTTGACCTCCTTCCCTCCCCCCCGCGGGGGGCATTGCGACCGTCATAAATATGAGGCAGTGGCCAAACCTCTGAATTTTGATCCCATGATTACGAGGCGGCTGCAACAGTCCTGACTGTGAAAAACGGTCGTAAGCGTCTGTCAATTTAAAAAATATTTCTATGGTCTTTTTAGAGTTGCCAACAGAAAGCGGGTTGAAAGAGCAGTGCAGCAGCTTGGAAATCGAAACTGCATTCCATAAATGTTTTCAAAGATAGTAACTAGGCGACCGAAGTTTCTGCTTCAGTCTAACTGAAGAGCATGATTTATGACTCTGGGCTATGGAGGTGTCCCATTGGAGAATATGAATTAGGATACACCCAGCGGGTGGGGGAAAACCAGGGTCAAGGATGACAATGAATGATGCGTCTCAGAGTTGGCTACACCCAGGCAGTGCCGACATGTTAACTCCCAATAAATCCTTTTTAAGTTTTGGAGGTTTGGCTCAAGATTCAGGATTTAATTGCCGGAATCCTGACACCCCCAACCTTAGATAAAGGATGATTAAAATACAGGCAGTCCTCAACTTACAACGGTTAATTTAATGACCGTTCCTGCCCTGCTCGATTTCTGCGTGCAAGGAATCTTACAGGGAAACAACATTCTGCTCTGTACAGAAAGTCCTCGGCTTACAACGGTTCATTTGGCGACCACTCAAAGTTACAACGGCACTGGAAAACAAGTGACTTAAGGCCTTTATTCACACTTATGACCATTGCAGCATCCCCGCGGCCAGGTGATCAAAATTCGGATGCTTGGCGACTGACTCATATTTACGACGGTTGCAGTGTCCTGGGCGGGGTTGCGTGATCCCCTTTTTGCAACCTTCTGACTAGCAAAGTCAATGGGGAAGATAGCTTCATTTAACGACCATGTTCCTCACTTAAACAACTGCAGGGATTCACTTAGTCCCAGGGCAAGAAAGGTTGCAAAATGGGGCCAAAATACTCCCTTAACAAGACTTGTGATTTACATTGGGGGAAACTGCCAGAATCCTGACAGTCAGTGCTGTGTCACTGTCAGCTTTTTTGAACGGTCACTAAACGAACCATTGTGAGCCACGACTACCTGGACTGACTGCCTGACAGGATTTTGGTTTCTAAAGCATGTACAGAGTGCCCGCTGCTGGAAATATTTTTATCAGGGAGGAACTGATAAAGGAGGATACAACTTTCCTCAAAGGCACTCTGTACATGCTCTAGAAACCAAAAAAGAGAGAGAGAAAGAGATTTGTCCACCAGGTGGAAACCCCCTCACCCCAAATTTCTGCTGCTAAGTGAGACACATTTGCCCCTTTTTATGACCTTTCTCACCGCAGTTGTTAAGTGAATCACTGTTTTTGTTAAATTAGTCACACGGTCGTGAAGCGAATCTGGCTTCCCCCCATTGACTTTGCTGGTCAGAAGGTCGCAAAAGGGAATGCTGCGACTGTCATAACTATGAGGCAGTGGCCAGGCCTCTGAATTTGGATCACGCGACCACGAGGAGGAGACAAAGGAGGCTGTCCCTCACTGCGGTCCTTAAGCGAGTAACATCGTTGTAAAGGGAATTCCCACGGATTTGGTTTGTCCAAAGGTCGCAAAAGGATGGCCTTCGCGTGAGCCCGGCATAAAAAGGAGCTGGTTGCCAAAGCGTTTGAATTCTGATCCCATCACCATGGGGATGCTGCAACGGCCGTAAGTGTGAATAACGGCCGTTAAGTCGTGTTTTTTTTTGCAGTGCTGTTTATAAAACAGTCACCTTGCAATTTGAAGTGCGCCTTCATGGCTCGGGACCGGGTGATCTGAGGGAACGTTTCTTGCCCGTCACATCTACCCTCCCATCAGAGCGGGGAGGCAGGGAATGTTCCGGGTCCCATCCCTGAGTGAGATACACCTGGTGCGACCCACAAGAAGGGCCTCCTCCGTGGTGGCTCCTTCTCTCTGGAACCTCATTCCCCTCAGAGATTAAAATGGCCGCCACTCTAATACTCTTCCGGAAGGCGCTGAAGATCTGGTCCTGTCAGCGGGCCTGGGGAACCCAGAGCGGGATGGAGCCCATCAAACGGCTCAGGTGATCTGCTGTCGTTGTCGGTGCGGGATGGGTGGGAGTTGTGGACGGTCATTGATATTTATTTATTTTCCCCAGATTTTGTTCTATTGTGCTTTATTAATTTGATTCTTTTTGTTAGTTTTTATTGTTTTTTTTTTTTTAATTTTTAAATATGATTTTACATTCTGTAAGCTGCCTAAAGTCGCTATGGGCGAATAGGTGGCAATATAAATTAAATAAATTAAATCTAAATTAAATCTAAATTAATATATAAA